TTCCTTTTGAAAATGAATGATATTATATTTATTGTTTATTTAATATTATTTTATATTTCGGTGCAAATAAATAAATTTAATGTATTTAAATAAAAAAAATAAATGGTATCTCTTATAGATAAAAATAAATGATGAAATCAGTAAAATCGTTATGATGATATGGTGTAATGCAAAAGTAAATGTTTGTAAGATTTTGGTAATCATGCATATTGATAGAAAAATAGGGTCAATAAATGAAAATAACTAACTTAATAAATGAAAATAACTAACTTTATAGTCATTTATTATAATAAATATTTTAGAGAAATTAATTAAACTAAATTAAAATACATAGTATCTTACGACCAATCCAAGTTAGCCTGCTTTCTCAATTAATTACGATTGAAAATTTGATTGTAAAATAAAATTATATTTAGGTAGTGAACAAATATAAATTCTCTTTAAATCTTTAAAATCACACTCTATTTACTAGAAAAACTCAAAGGGATATTATAACCGAGTTTAATTGCCAATGGATAATCTGTAAAGTTCTGATCTCGCAATTTATCCCGGATGTTGTTCAATCTTGCATATGTCTTCTCGAGAGTCACTTCTTTGGAATAGAGCTAAATATGAAAATATTTTCACAAATAATCTTTTTACACAATTTGATATTTCTGTGTTATGAATATTGGTGAAATATTTTGATGCTGACCATTAATGAAAGAATTCGTTCTTGTTTTTTGATTAAGCACGAAGATCCTCATAAACAATAATCGAGAAATTTTATTTTGCCTTCAATAATCAAATGTTACAGCCTCTTGATATGTTTCAGGACTTTTCGCAAAAATATGGATAAAATTTTCACTAGCTCCCATTCCTTCCTTATCATACAAGATCGTTATTTTAAATAACGTTTTGAATTCTTTCTATTGAACATGCGTTGGAGTTTTTTTCCCAAAATAAGATTTATAACCACATTCATTTTTTCATCATGTGATCCTACACAGACTAGTAATCTAGAGGGATTAGTCTGTTGGTATCTAATTGGATTTCATTTGCTTCGAAGATTCTTTAGGTAAATAGTCATACCTTTTTCTTTCATTATTATATTTAGAAAACAATGATCTTTATTGCTATACCTTATGCATGCACCTTATTATCATCGACAATCCTACATAGGTGAGCATGAATTTCAACAAGTTAAAATATATTCCTGCTGCAATATTGTTTTTGTAAGCATGAATTTCAGTTACACGATCAATAAAATTGTCTATCGTAATTGGTTTTCTTCTTTTTTGGAGACGATTTATTATAAACACATTGTTAAAAATTGTATTTACTTATTACAACAATTTGAAATTATTGAAAAGTTTTCCATATTCAATGAATTGGCCTTAGAAATATATAAAGGATTACAACATTTTACACCAAAATTAATTACAAGAATGATTATGCGATATTGAGATACTCGAGTTACTCATCACCCAACTTTTAAGAATTGAAAAGGGAGTTGTATAAATACAATAATTATCATGAATGGACGAAAAACAATGAGATTCCAATTCCAATTTTTTAGAAACTGAAGAAATTTTCTAAAAATCAAGAAGCAGCTAAAGCTCCACTTAATTATAGAACACATCTGAATTTTCCAAATCTTCCAAAAACCCGTGAATGAAACTAATTTTGAAAAGATCTTTTACTGATATAATTACTAGTAAGAATCAATTATGTATCACATTTTATTCATTCTATTTTTTCATTTTGTCATTAATTATATTAGTATAACCATCTCGGTTGTCTTTCGTTCTGGTGGGATAAGCATTTTAGTTGTGAATATTATTAATTCTTCGTAAATTAACGAAAAAATGGCATACATAACCAACCAGTATATACTGATGTTGCGACCGGTCAATAGCGAAACTTTTGGTACCAATTTATCTGAAAGAATTTTTTTAGGCAAAAGTTTAAGATCAACAGATCTAATTTATTTTAATATTTTTTAGGATTGATTACAGGGATCTGATTAAAAGAAAACCGAAAGTGAAAGAAGAGGAAGTAACGGAAAAGAAAGATTGGATATTATACTCTTTAAAAGTCGTTTAAAAAAAAAATATAACCAAATGAAGGTTGAACTAAAATGTACACTTAGCGGGTAGTAGAAGGTACTCTATTTGAATTCTACATCTAACAGAAGTACAGTGTATTAATGTTTTGAATTTTTAGCAATCTGATAACTGACTTGCTTAATATTGCAATAGTTTAATAAACTCATTTACAATCAACTTTTATGACTTGACAATTCAAGAAATATTTTTCTCGAGGAATTAATAGAAATAGAATTAAAATATTAAAAAAGAATCAAAATAAGCTCTGAACTATGCGAAAATCTAGCAAAATATTACAATTTATTTGAAAAAAATATTATTGATTTGATTATTGCTATCATAGCATTGTTAAGAGTATGAAAGAAGTTAGGAAAATCAAGAAAGAAATTGATCATGGAGAATATAGCTTTGAAATTGATATCTTAGGTAATCAGTTTACAATTTATAAGTATAGTACTTTTTTAACAATACATGAATTAAAGTTCAGTGTAAGTTTATATTTATTTGCGGATACGACAATAAGAATGTAATCCAAGTTCATTTCTTTTGACCATTACGACATCATCAATGTCTGGGTCCTATTATTGGTAAGTAGTAATAGTGGAATTGCATGAATTTTTGCTAACTGCTAGGGTGTATTACAAATTCTGATCGAACTAGACAAAAAAAATGGGTAGAAGAGGTGATACAATAATCCAAAATCCTCAGGGTACAACTTGAGTTTAGAGGTTTAAGAATGTAATCAAGAAAAATAATCACACAAAACATAACCAATAAAATCAAAATTCTTCTTCTGAACGATGTGGCTTTAAAAAAAAGAGCATTTATTACAATCTAGTATAGTGTGATCGATTATTGTGAAATGCATGCATGAATGGTTCCAATTGCTAAAATCCGTGATTTTACTTTTGTACAAATATATATTTAATCAGCCTCATTTGTTGGGTAAAAATTTTTCTACCTCCCGAATAAAGATGAGATATTATAATTTAGGATTAGGATATATAGGATTAGGATAAATATTTGAGTTTAGAATTATAAAAAATTGCCGGCCGGTTCTATATTGGGTTTTTTTGTTGAAAAGGAAATAAAAAAAAAAACAACGAATAAATTTCATTGTGAAGTAGAATTAATTGTACAACTTTATTTTGATCTAAACATTTTTAACAATATTTTGTATTACATTCAATGTAATGCATATTTTAATAACTACCTACTGCCGATATTTTTTACAAATAATAATAAAAAAAAATTTAAAAATATAGATTTTATAAAGATTTCAATAATAACATCACATTTAACAAAGAAGTCCATATTAAGTAATCAAGATTTCATTAAGATGCATGCATTTAAAATGCGTATTAGAAGGAGATAAGATTTTCAAATAACCATATTTAACAAACAGGAATCGAGATGCATGTGCAAACTATTTTAAACAAAAGATTCATTTATCGAACCCAAATCCAACCGATGATCACTTACATTTATTTTTTTTTTGCTTGTTATCCTATTAATTTTATAGATCTTGGCATTGCTAGGCGTGCTATTACTTTTAATTTCTTTTTATTACTTGCTTGTTATCTATTTTCATTTCCGAAAATTCTTTTTTTTCTTTTTACAAAAAAAGGTTCATTTATTAATAATAATAAAAAATCAAAATGAAGAAACAATCTTCTATTTTCATAAAATGGAAATTAAAATGATAGAATGAGTAAGTTAGTTATTAATAATAATTTAAAAGACATTTTTAACAAGCAAGGTACAAAGATCTTATAATATTAAACCCCACAATATAAACATTTCGCATATGAACAATGTACATTATGAGTATGTTCAGGTCGGGTCGTTATGGTTAGTTATAATTTTTATCGATATGGATTTTATTTATTCCCATCATAATGATGCCCAAACATAGAATACAATGTATAAATTTAGATTCTTTCTCAAGGTACCGAACTTTTTTTGTGTAATGTTCATTGATCATTTCTTTCAAAAAATAAATTTTAATCGTTTTTAACCTGACATCTGCAAATGCACAATGCGTAGCTGGCTTGTGCTTTGTGCTTCGATGTTCCTAAAGAAAATTGATATATTTTGATGAATATTTCATAGTGGTGATAAGATGATACGATGTGGGGTATGCAGGATGGATAGAGTTTGATTTTAAATAAAACATCCTCTGACAATGGCGCAGCTGGCTCGTTCTTTATACTTGTTATCTCTCAAAATATAAAAAAAAATATTCAAATTTATAATTTTTCTGCGAGATTAAATACGAGCACATAGAAACATGTCATTGGCGTACACTTTAAAAATTTTTAAGTGTAATCAATATTCATTCATTTATTGTACTTTTGCACTTATAACAATCGAAATAACCGTATTTAATTGAAAAAATTTTATATTTTATTTATTTAAATTCGAAAAAATAATCTTAGTAATTTTTGTTTAAATGATTACAGCATGCATAAATATATTTCTTATTGACACAACACATTTTGATTAAAAAAAGCTTAATGGTATTACAAAATATTATATAATTTGTATGTACTAAATTAATAATCTTAAATAATCTTAATTTATATTGGACTCTTTAATAAAGGCTTATAATAATAATAATAATGTTTAATAATAATAATTTTTTGTATGTCAGGAATAATGCTAAAATATTGAGAAAACGTTAATAATTTATATATATCGCTAATTTTATGAAAGTTAATTATTTTCAGGCGTCGTCGGAACGTTAATTATTTATATCGACAATTTTTCAATTACGAAAGTTAATTATATATTATTGCCGGAATTAATATAAAAAAATAAATAAAGAAAACCATAATAATATGATTTTTCTTTGAATTGCAGGTTTAACCAGTGATAAGGCTTATATTTGTGTAGTTGTGATTGTGATTTGAATTAGTAAAAAGCCGAAGCTGATCCTTCAATCAAAATAGAAGCAAAGAGATTCACGGGTGTATCATCTTTTTCGTGAATAATTGGGTTTTCTTCTGTAGGAAGAGGTCTATTACGTAACATTTTCTCTGCCTCTTCTAACGACCTAGGTATTGGCAAGTTTATAATCTCACGTTGTAAACGTGACGCGTCTGAAGTTGATATTCTTAATGGTATTATTCGATAAGAATTTGATAACTGATAAGATGAAGCGGAAGGATTTCGTTCGAAGTAATCATTAGTTATATTCGCCATTCTAACGTAGCGCCTTCGAAAACGGATAGGATAATTTTTTAAATTACTTCGGCATCTGGTGGATATGGCGCGTAATTCGGTTGGATTATAATTTAATCCATGAGAGTTGCAACTAGAAATAATTAGTTTATTAATAATATCTATTGAGCGTACTTTTCTCGAAACCCTATAGATAATGATCGTTTGATTCTCATATAGAAGATATGTCATAATAGCGCTTATGTCGTTTTGAGTAATAGTCATTTTTAGGTTTGTTTATATTTATTAAAATTTATCAAGAAAATTTATACTTATTTTGAAGAAACTTAAGAATGTTAGAAAAACACAGCGGTCCTTTAAATAGGATTTGATTTACATTTGATACAATAATTAAATTTATTTGTTTATCATTGAATATGCATTATAACGTTAGAAGATGCGTACTATATATAAATATATTGTAATTGATTGAAATATAGTGTAATAAGTTTAATTGTTGGTCCGTCTAAGAACGCAAAAAATTGGGGCAAATTTATATGTATGTTATTATATTCCGGAATCCGGACGGCGTCTATAAGTAAGTATAAATTTTTACAATATAATCATAGATAAAATTTTAGTATGCTATTTGGTTATTTTTTATGTGCTGAAATAAATCAATTTTTTTGTGCCCTAAATATGTAAACTATATTATAATTTTATTAAAATAATTTATCCTCAAATTTTATTATATAAATAGTGCCGTTCTTAGGAAGATCATCAATTAAGAAATTTTAAAAATTATATTGGCATATAATGAAATCGAATATATTTTAAAAATATACTAACCACAATTAAATTTTATTCATTACTTAAAAAAGAAGGCACTCGTTTTTTTAAAATGAATGATAGAAAAGAAGAACGAAGAGTATAGTATCCGATATTATGTATCTACTGATAATGAATATATGTAATAGAAGATGTTTTTAACTATTGAGAATAAATAAAAATATATTTGTCTTAAAAAAGTATTAATTAAAATCTCAATATTTCCTCATTTATTATAGAAACGATAGAAACGGATTTCTGATACGTTTTCTAGAATTTCGAATGAATTACAAACCAATTTTAATTGATAATTTATTCACGAACGCAAGTGATTTTGATGCATAAATAACTAATTAATAATTCACATTTTTAATTACGTTTTAAGATTTTAACCATGTTTTCTAAGCAACATTAGTAATCCTTAATTATTTCATGGGTTTAAATATTTTTATCAATGAATAATATTATTTTTAAGTTAAGTACTGTATATTTTCTCGGCGAACAAAAAAAAAAAAGAAAATTCGATTTATCATTGATCTATTTTTACGGATTTATCAAAGGTATAAAGATTAAAGTTTGCCGAATTTGATTATCTCAATTATTTCTTTTTTTTCTTGGCGAACAAAAAAAAAATTTACAATTTGTTGGAACGCTGATCTATTGCTAAGACGTATTGAAGATTAAAAGTTTTTTAGAATTTAATTACATCAGCTTACATCTATTACATAAATTTTGGTGATTTTTTCTCACATAAATCTTTGCATTTTTTCGCATTAACATGCAGTATTTCTTTTCGCTTTGACATGCAGTATTATTTTTTTTTTAAGTAATACAATGAATTCTTACATTTTAATTTGTTACTTGATTCTGGCCCATTGTAATTTGGATAAAAGAATTACTGTCCTTATTTGGGAGTCAAAGTCTATTCATAAAGTACATCCTATCCTTATCAAAAATCGGGTTGGTGTCAAAAATTCAAAAAAGGAAATATTAACAATAATTTATTGTTAATATTTCTTTTTTTGAATTCCGAACCAACCCTGATTGTCTTTGAACATATTTTTTGACTTACTAAGAGTCTAGAATCTCGATGTTTACATAATATCTAAAAGATGCGACAACATTATAACATCAATTTTCATTAACCTAAAAAATAAATATGATATATTATTTACAAACAAAAATAATAACAACATGGATTGATAATCCTCCAGTCAACTATAGAAATTTTGTTAAAAAATATTTACAATAATAATTATAAAATATTATATTTTTTTAAATAAAATTTAAATAAATCCTATTTTTTTAAAAATTTTAAAAATCTATTTTTTGAAAAATTTATTATAAATGTATAAATTATTAATTTTAAATTATTATATAGAAAAAATAAAATAAAATCTAGCAGTTGACTCGCAGATCATCAATTAATTAAAATAATCGAAGTCTAATGTAAAGATAATTCCTTTAATTCCTTGGAATAAAAGTGGATGTTAGAAAATGTATTAAAGTATAATTTATCTCCAAAAATCCAATGTCAATCAAATTATTGTTTTATGATGCAGATTATTAAGCATATGGACTCCATAAAATACGATTGATATATCTATTCCTGGTACTCATCTAATTAATATTTATCAAAACATAATTAATATATTATACAGAATTTTCATTCTAATTTAGAATATTACTTTTAACTCATTTAAGAAATCTAAGAGAATCTTCATTTATATCTAAATAACATCAACCACACTTCACGATCTAAATAACATCACGTTGATCATTTCTTTTCCATTGTTGATTTTGAACATCCCAACTTAAAAAATACAACTTAACATAATAAATAGTACCAAAACCACCTTTTGCAATTTCTTTAATATCTTTAAATCTTTCCTAAGGTATCCATTCTATTACTTTATCATAATCATCTATATTTAATTGAGAATCTTGAATAAATTTATCAATTGTATCAGTTCCACTCTCCTATTTAACAAAATCATTATGAACGGTTTACACCGATATAAGCTATTACGTATTTGATTGCATTCTGGGCATGATGCCATTTTTATTCACTTTATAGTAAGTAATGTATAATTTATTTTTTTAAAAATAATTCAATAATAAATTTAGGTAATTTCCTCGGAACTTTGAAGTGGTATTTATGTTAGTCATATGATATTTGAGTAGGTTAAATTAGTGACACCGACCGAAATATAAAACCTAAGCAAAGAAAAAACATTATGCAATATCTGATATTAGATAAATGTCACAATTTACATTTACACAAATAGCAAAATCGCAGATTACAGCAATTGGAAATCGAAAATATTTATTTGTCTTTTTTTTTGCTTCAAATTGGTGGTTTTTTTTTTTCGAAAAAACAAATATTTTACGCATACCTTTTCATATCTAGTGTGCAAATCTTATACATCATACTTAAATATATTAATCACACTACACTAGCGTGTACAATTAAGGTATCCGGATAATGGGAAATTTTATTTTGATTAAATTTTGTAAAAATAATATTCAAGATTTATGTTTATAGTTATTAATTTATAAAAATTAATATTTCGATTAAAAAATGGAGTGAAAAAAATTGATATATAAGTCATCACAATCTTTTTGATGAATATTCTCGTTATTATTGTCATTTGATAATTCCAGAATCAATATCATTTTTTTTATTAATACCTGGTATTTTTTATTATTCATTTTCTTTATATGTAATTAAAATAATTTCGTCTCTCAAAATGTAGCGTAGTTCTCAACAATTATCGAAATCGTGTGATGAAATTTTTTCCAGCTTTTTATCACTTACTTTTAACATGGAGAACCTTTCTGCTCTACTTACCTCATAAAATGATTCTCAAATTTTCGGTAGTGACGCTAGTAATAGAAATGTTATTATTTATCCAGCTTCCCTATAATTACTGTATTAAATAAATTGTGTTAAAGTAATAAGAATAAATTTCAATATATTTTTAAACCTCAAGAATATACATAGTTCAGTCAAAAGATCTAAGTGTTTTCAAATTAATTTTTTCTCGAAAGAAAATAACATGTTTTCATTTTCTTTTTGTTGGTATTAAACTTAATGATCCAACGATCCGGATATCCGTTTAATCCACGAACGGATATTCCGTGAGCTTTATCACGGATACGGATATCCCGGATATATCCGCGGATATGTTTTATCCGTACTTATCCATATATATATATCCGTGGATAAAATATTTCGCGCGATATAATATTAATTTTTTTATAATATAAGAATCAAAATAATTATCGATGGACGATGGTTACTACATATATTTTAATAAGTAAATGTCAAAATCAATGCTATGTAACCTTACATCCAAAATTGAGAGATGTTAAATTTTGAACGGCGAAAAAATTTTATACAATTCTTTGTCCAATTTTGAAGTTATACGTCTGCCCTTTAAATATAATAAGTAATTCATTCTTACCTTTGAAGTTACTTAGGACCCTTTTGCATTCACTTACAATATAAAAAATTTATATGTAACAACGATTGACGATTTTGTATATAACTATATTATAATTATATAATTATAACAAAACCGCCGATCGTTGCTACATATAAAACTTTTTATATTGCAAGTGAATATCAAAAATAGTACAAAGTAACCTCAAATATAAGAAGCACAGACACAGACTTATATCATCAAAATTGAGCAATTTTAATATTTTCGGCCCGAAATTTAAATGCAAATATTTATCTCAATTTTGATGATTTAGGTCTGTCCTTTAATATGATACGCAATATATTTTTTATTTAAGGTTACTTAGAAATTTTTGAGATTTACTTACTAAAATAAAAGTTTTATATTCAACGACCATTGAACGGATATCTCAAATTTCCATACAGATATCCGTTTACCTATCCAGATAACCGGGTAGGTCTTAAACGGATCCCACCACTAGATCCATGAGTCAACTAACATAATAAGCTAAATTTTTTTGAATAATAATTTTTATATATGTAATAAATATGCTTTACTAGCGACGTAGTAAGATTCAAGCAATTTAAAAGAAAATAATTTTTTAAAATTTTATTTTAAAAAATATAAATTTTCTTTATCGCTATTTTCGAAATGGTCCGGTCAACAATTGGTTGATCAAAATAAAAATTTATTTTTCGAAAACCGAAATCAGGAACACATGATTATCATGTGATAAATAATAACCAATAAAATAATTAAATTTTATTATAAAAAAAATTATGAGCGTCCTTATCCTGGACCCCCAGTTCAGGGTAAAAATTATGAACCCCCGGGGTTCAGGCAAATTAATCTAGACCCTTTCCTTTTTTAGTAATAAAATTTATTAGTGCGCCTGCTATATGTTAATAATGCTATGAACGTAATCATATTTGTATTTTATTAATTACAACTATATAAATTCAATAATAT